AAGCTGGGTGCCCATTTTGGGAAACAAGGATGAGGAAAGAATGGAAGTGAAGGATGGAGTACCTGTCTGTACCTGTGTCTGCAGCTAAGGAAATTTTTTGATGGCAAATGAGCTATGAACAGGTGGCCATAAAGGTTGCAGCTGGCACAGCCCTGTCCTGCTGCCATGGGACAGAGGATCCATCCCCACTCACCTGGGTTATGCTGTTCTCCTTATGAGAAAGTGAAATCCATGTTAAGGAACTGGCTGCTGGAGTGTGCTCCTTACATCCCTTCACCAGCTCCCAGCTGATGTTCAGGACCAGCTCCAGGTCCTGCCATCTAAAATTTAAAATAATTAATAAAATCAAATATATTAGAGACAGAAAGGGTCTTTCAGAGCCAGAGAATAAAACCTGTCACTGAGGAGCAGGACCCCGACAATGCTGAGGGACCCCTTGATCCAGCCTGTGATGGGCTCGTGTAAGGCTGTGGTCATGGGATACAGCTGAAACCAGAGCAGGAAAACTCTCAAACTCACTGCCAGTCCCCTCTTCCCTGTCTGCCATGCTCCTGTGCAGGAATTGTCCAGACAGGCATCTGGGCTGGGCTCTTTGGCCTCCACAAAGGAGGCATTTGCAAGGGAGTGTTTCTGACTGTGTCAGAGGGGCCCTACACTTCTGGAAGGAGGCAGATCTAAAAGCAGGGTGAGTACACAGGCCTCAGGATGGATATGTGAAACAGAATGGATTTGCACTTGGAGAGGAACCTGAGCTCTGAAACAATGGAGCTGTGGTGAAGTGTTGTCCCCTGAGTGGTGCAATTGGATGGTTTCACTCTCACCATACACACGCCCTCAGCAATCCCCACACCTGGATGGGTGTCCTGTGAGCTGGGGATGAGGAGGAGCTGGTACCCCAGTCAGTACCTGGCTGAAATGCAGGCAGCAAGCTGCCCTTGTCCATCTGAGTGCTGGGAAATGTGCATGGAAATCCCAGGTCATCCCAGGTACTTTGAGCAGGCAGGCACGGGGTTAAGGCTGTCGTGTTTTTGGGAATTCAGTGATAGAAGTGAATGTGCACACGTTATATATCCAATTCTTCTGAGAAAGAACAGAAAGCAAGAGGTGCAGAGTTGTACATTCAAAGAAGTTTCATCCAAGCTGCTGGAGAAGCCCCAGGCCCACAGTGCAGCCACAGAGACTGTACCACAGATGCACAGCTAGTCCAGAATTTTTGGAAGGTGTCATATTCACTGAATCATGGGTTGCAGCCAAAGTCTGTGCCTGGGGCCATGATTACATTACCAGGCACAGGGAAATCCTGGGAAACCAAAAACCTTCTGCTGTTCACAGAACTGGTCTCCAGCAGGAAAAAAGAATGTGCTCAAGAAACTCCTGATAGCCCCTAGGACTTGACATGACTGTTTAGTCAAACTAAATCAAAAGCATTTCAGACCCCAAGAAATGGTTTTTGGGTGTGCAGCAGCAACAGCTTCTGTAAGACTGGGGGACTTCTTGCTAGTGCAGCAGCTCTGGGAGGGCACACTGAGGGAAACTGAGGCACACAGAGCTCCAAGTGCAAAATGTGATATCACTGCCTTGATGTCCTTTTCACAGAATCACAGAATCACTGAGGTTGGAAAAGACCTCAAGGTCCATCGAGTCCAAGCTGTGCCCAACCCCCACCTTGTCAACCAGCCCAGAACATTGAGTGCCACGTCCAGTCCTTCCTTGGACACTTCCAGGGGTGAGGACTCCAAACCTCCCTGAGAAGCCCCTTCAGGTGTTTAATCACCCTTTCAGTGAGGAAAATTCTTCCTGGTGTCCAACCTGAATCTGCCCTTGATGCCACAAGAGACACCCAACAGAGCCTGAGGAGTGGGGCTGAGGCAATGCCAGCATAGGTTGCAGGTGCCCAAGTCAGAGCAAGTGCTCAGTTCAGGAATAAAGGTTGTCAAAACCTCAGCTGATGCTGGACCAGGGCACCCTTTAACACCACAGCCCAGCCTAATCTCTGATTTTGTCAGCTAAGCCGAAAAGAATGCTCACTGCACTCAGAGCGATGCCATCTGAATTTTCTGCTTTGGCAAGGGGTCTGACCCATCTCATGTTGTGGTGCTACAACATTTCTAACAGAGAATAAAACCCCCTGAGTGTGTGACTGTGCCACTGGCAGTCCAGGCTCTGCCCCACTGCTCAGCTGCACTGGCAGAGTTGAAAGACAGCTGGAGCAGTGTGGGTGTTATTTCAGGTCAGAGCATTTGAAAAGCATAAATCAAATCTTTAAAGTCTTATAACCAGTTTAAAAATAATGATTAAAAAAAAATCAGCGTGGGCACTTATTTTCCATGCATTGTACATTTTACATTAAACTTTGCTCATAAGTTGAAGATTTCCTTAGTAATTTGGAACAACAGAACCAAATGTATTGCTTGAATGAGCAGATCAAATTCTCACAGATATAGCTGATGTCTAAAATAGGAGGCCTTGAGAAAAGAAAAAAGAGAACACTGAAATATTTGTAATACAATAACAACTTGTGGAAAATTAAATCTAATTTGATTTAGATTTTCTATTTTCTCTTTTAACCTACAGGAAAAGCATTCCTAAATCTGGGCTTGCAAAGATCCCACTAGCCATGTAGTGCTGGTATTTTGTTTCCAACTGAGAAAAGCACATCAGAGGATTAAAAAAAATAAAGAACATCTGTTGTTTTTTTTTCTTAAATAAGAAAAGAACAGAAGAAACTAAAATATTGTAACTGTTTTTCTCTTTCATCTTCCAATAGCTCATGACCACTTCAGGTGGAATCCCTCCTATCTGATCATGAACATCTACAGCTGCAAAGGTTTTCAGGGCAGAGAGTGACAGGACTAGGCAGGGGATGCTTTTAAACTAAAAGAGGAGAGATTTAGACTAGAGTGCCCAGAGCAGCTGTGGCTGCCCCATCCCTGAAGTGTCCAAGGCCAGGTTGGACAGGGCTTGGAGCAGCCTGGGACAGTGGAAGGTGTCCCTGCCATGGCAGGGGTGGAATGAGATGAGCTTTAAGGTCCCTTCCAACCCAACCCATTCCATGGTTCTGTCATTTCAGTTCTTCCTGTCTCAGACAAGCAGGACTATCGTGGTCTTCTTTACCAAACAGCTTCACTAAGGAGATGGTCACAGCTAAAGGCACTTTGCAGCCAAGGTCATGCCTCATTGAAGTTAAGCCAAGCAATTAGGATAAAATAAATGAGAGAAAAGAAGTCTTTCAGGTCTCTTGGAACACAGGTTGGGGGTTAATAAAAGTTTAATGTTGACTGGATTCTTCGAATATATACCAGCTTGAAAGCACAAGACAAAGAGTTTGGACTTGCTGAGGATCAAAACATGAAAGACTTATCTTTTAAAAAAACATTGTACACCTGTATGTTTTCCCTTGGTGTCCATCACCCAGATCACAGGTAGCCATTTGTGTGATCACTCCCCACTCTGGTGTGGGGATGGCCGAATTCCCTAAGCCCACCTGTTTTTCAGTGACACATCAACTTGGCATCATTCTTTGGAAAAACAATTATATCAGTGTTATTTGTGGGTTTTTCCCCTTCTTCCACCTCTGACTTCCTCTCTCGGTTCTCTGATCCTTGCTTTCCAGCGTGCTTTTGCCCTTCTTTTTTTTTTTCTCAGGGTACACTCATACAGGTTTCATTCCACACCTTGGGCTCAAATGATCCCAGTGGGGTTGATAAAGCAGGAGCAGCATCCTCAGCAGGTGTCAGCTCTCTGCCCTGGGGATCAGTCGGAGGGAGGGGGTTCATCCCTTCCCTCCACGTACAGATCCAGCCTGGCAGAATTCCATGACACTCCTGTTAAAAGCACTGCCTTTATCCAGGCTGCTTGCAGGGCTGGAGATCTACACAGGAAGAAGAAAAATCACCTACTTTGTTATTGTTCAGAATTGTTTCACATCCCTCTCCTGCTGCAAAAACTCAGCTCAGTACAGGAAGAAGGAATTTCCTGAAACCCAACCTGCTGCTGAGGCCCTGAAGGACGAATGGAACTCCAGGTATCAAACATGAGACTCACACACACAGCAGCTGCTTTTACCCAGGGAGTGAATTTGGCAATCTCAGGAATATTTCTGTTAATATAACACTTAGGACGTAACACAAGGTTTTTATGCTTCCCACTTAATATCCAACTTAAACTGGGGCATTTAAACACCAGATCTGCTGATTCCAGTAGAATCTATGTGGCTCTCGAGATTTGGCCCTTTAGCTTTGAATCCTTTCCATTTTGTGACTCTTCATCCCAGTAGTGGCACTTGGCACAGGCACCGCTGTCCCTGCCTCCAGCCTCCTGGGAGAGGGATTTGTCCACACCCCAGTCCTTCAGCCCAGAGACAGCACCCAGAGCCCGCCTGGAGGACCAGCGCCTCTGAGTCCCACCAGGCAGTGTGGGGATCTCAGGGTGTCCCCAGCAGATCCTGGGGCCTTGCCTTGGTCCCGGGTGTTTCACTGGTGGTTTTCCCTGGGCTCAGTGCGCGTAGCCGGGACAGGGAGAGCTTTCACCCAGGATACCCGTGGGTGCGAGGCCACGAGCGGCCCTCAGGGCTCCTTCCCAGGGCAGCAGCCGCCGGCTCCGGGCTCCCCAGGCTGAGCTCAGAGCCCTTGGCCAACACCCGGGGGTGCACAGTGCTGAGCCCCGTCCCCTTCAGCCGCTGGCTCTGGACAAAGCGATCCCAGCCCAGCCACAGCAATCTCGGCCCAGGACAGTGATCCCGGCCCAGCTACAGCGATCTCGGCCTGAAGCAGGGCTTGAGAAGGGAGGTGCCGGCCTTCGTTGGCGGGAAGAATAAACCCCGCCCCCTCCCCGCCCCTTGTTATGAATCAGCCAATAGCTCGCGCAGGACAGTGACAGACATTTCTTTTATCCAATAGCGCAGAGGTGAGCGCACTCCGCGCCAATGAGCACAGCGCAGGGAGCCGAGCGCCCCGCCCCTCAGTTTATATAAGGTGAGCCCGGTGAGGGCTGCTGCTGTTGCGGTGCTGTCCAGACACGTTGCCCGTCTGTCCCGGCGCTCCAAACCATGGTGAGTGGGATGAGGGCCCGCTGCTGAGGGGTAGCCTGGCGCCGCTCCGCGCGCTGCAGCGAGAAGCTGGAGGGGACGGGATTGGTGGCGGGACGGCCCCACCGGGCCCTGGTGGGCGGTGGGTCTTGCTGCCCCGAGCCGCTTCTCGTCCCGCGCCCTGTCGTTCCCGCCGTCTCGTCCCAAAATGGTGGCGGCCTCATCGAGAACATGGCGGCCTACGGGACCTTCAGACCTGGCCGGCTCTGGGGCTGCGGCTCCGTCCCGGCCGCCGTCAGCCCCCGGGCCGCATGTCCCTATGGGCTTGCCCGCACAGAGCGGGAGAGCGGCCGGGTTCCCGCTGCGTTCGAGCCCGGGGAGGGGCAGCTCCGCGCGATGTGCGCGACCCGCAGGGCCGGGGGAGGAGCCCTGCCCACCGCCCTGGCTGCTGCCGAGGTGCCGCTCCCCCGGTCCTGCCCCGGGGCTGTCCGTGCTGTGCGCGGGTGGGAGCGCCGGGGTTGGGCCGATGGGGAGAGTTCCTGAAGGACTTTGTGAGACTGGCTGGCAAGAATGACCTGGTAAATTGAGTCACCTTTGAAGGGTAATCTGAAAGGCGTGACGAGGCTGGGATGTCCCACAGGTCAGGGTTCAGATGCTGAGCTGGGCAGCACAGCTGGAGCCTGGGATGGGCATGACGTTCTTCCACGTTGGGGTAGTGTCTTCTCACCTCTTCGAAAAGATATTGTCAGAAGGTTACGTGGATTTACAGATGTAGCAAGACTGTCACTGCAGGCTTGTGAATGTGTGGGAAATACTTGTTGAGCTGAAAATGATTGTAAGTTAGAGTATTGGTGGGATGTGTTGAGGTCCTTGCTCTTACCCTTCCCTTGGGGACTGTTTATTATCATTTCAAATAGTCAAATCAAGAGTATGAATAGAGCCCCTGGTCTCTGCAAAGGATGCAGGTTCTCTGGAGTCCCATCCCAGGGAAACAGTGTTCCTCCATATGGTGTGCTGGTGAGCTTACTCTGAGCTGGCACAGCCTTTCTCAGGAAGCTTGGCTTTCCATCAGCCTCATGCAGGTGCAGCTGGACCTTGAGCACCGTGCTGGGGAATGCAGAGGACCTAGAACCTGATCCAGCAGTGCCGTGGAGGAGCTGGGGAGCTGCAGCCTAGCAATGAGTGCAGCAAGGGGTGAGTCTGCAGCTGTTGGGAGGGCAGGGACAGGACAGGACAGTGCCCTTCAGCTGGAGTGCATCCTGTAGGGAAAGGAGACAGAGATTAGGCTGGAGAAATTCTGCCTGAAACTGTGTGCTTGCAAATAATGTATATAAGTGTGGGGAAAGCATTTAGTATTAGTTAAGTAAATAAGAGGATTCTGTAGTGGCTTGAATACAGCATTCACCAGTGCTGTCTGTATGCATTTAATCCTTATTCTGAAGCTTTCATCAGTTATGTGTGAAGGCCCCAAGTTATAATGAGTGTGACAGTTCTCTTGCCTGTCATTCCAACTTGGAGCTGATGTTTTTTGGCATAAAATCTGAGTCTTGTTCGTTAGTATTCTTCGTGCTGTGAAAAGGCCATGAAGTGCGAAATGGGCAGAGACTCTGTTACTGTCTGATAAAAATTTGTATTTCATTGAATAGCCACATACTACTTAAAAGTCTTTAGCAGAGTTGTAGGAAAGCAGTTGAAAGAACTCCCAAAGCAGAACTCACAGTAGCACCAGGCCAGGCTTTGTGACTGAACTTGTTTAGCCAAGTTTTGAAAACCTCCAAGGATAGAGATTTCTTCCCACTTCTCTAGTGACCTGTTCCAGGGCCACACTGTTCCACTGGGGAGGCTTTTCCTAACACGAACCTGAGCCTTGCATCAGCCTTTGAGAATCTGACCTGGTGCCACTTGCAGAGCAGAGGGAGGCCTTCTCCTGTGCTGGCCATGTGTCTCCTCTTGTTCCCTGGCACATGGTTTGTCCTGCTGAGGATGAGACCACCCTGTGGGACATTCGGGCTGGTTTCTTTGGTAATCTCCAGGATCTTTGCAGCAGGGCTGCCTCTCAGTTACTGCTGTTTGTACTGCTGCAGGGAGTCATTGCCCAATGTGTTGAACTTTGTATTTTGTCCAAGTAAACATGGCATGGTTTAATGTAGCACCTGTAGCACTGGTCTGTGGCTGTGTTGCCAAGCTGTACATTCAGAGTTGGAAGGGACTCACAAGGAACATTGAGTCCAGATCCTGGCCCTGCACAGGACACCCCCAAGAATCCCACTCTTTGCCTGAGACTGTTGAGTTCTGTCAGCTTTGGGGTTGTGACCACTGTCCTGAGGAGCCTGTTCCATTGTCTGATCACCCTCTGGGGGAAGGATGTTTTCCTCATATCCAGGCAATCTTCCCCTGACACAGCTTCCCTTGGCTCCTGTCACTGGTCGCCAAAGAGCCCTCTGCCTCCTCTCATGAGGAAGCTCTAGACCATGATCAGATCTCCCCTCTTCTCCTGACTAAACAAGCCAATGGCCTCAACTGCTCCACATACCCTCCATCTCTGTGGTGGGTGTAGTCCTTTTACACTCTTTCAGTGACCTTTCCCAGCTGCTCAGGAGTTTCTTTACCAAGGCTTAGGTGACAGGTGAGGATCCAGGCTGATGTGGTGGTCTGTGCTGTTCTCCTCTCCCTGCAGAAAAGTTTCAGGCTGTCCTGTTCTCCTAAAGGGATGCTCCCTGAGTGGTTGCCATGGTCTGGTCTCTGTGGCACTGCAGCTAGTTTTCCTGTCACCTTTTTCATGTTGTGCAGGTTGGCTGTGTGTGTGTTCTCTGCCATGGGAGTACTGGACTAGCTCAGTGCTTCAGCTCGGAGAGCAATGGTGTCATGGCTTTAGAGAGAAGTGTGGCAGCAGCTCTGAGCAAGGCTGCTTGCAGAGAGAATGTGGGCTGGACATCTGAATATACGGCTTGGATGGATGGGAGCTTAAAAACAGTTCAGCTGTACAGTGCTGTGCTTGAAAACAGGCAATTTTTTTTTAATAAATACAGATTTTAATTACATGAGGTTCCCAATTAATTTGAAAGGACTGCGCTCCTGCTTTTCTACATTGACTATGGATGTGGAATAGGCAGTTCCAGGTCATAGAATCACAGAACGGTTTATGTTGAAGGGGACCTTAAAGACCATCCAGTTTAATCTCTTCCACTATCCCAGTCTGCTTCAGGCCCCATCCAGCCTGGTCTTGGACACTTCCAGTGCTGGGGTAGCCACAGCTTCTCTGGGCAGCCTGTGCCAGGGCCTCACCACCCTCACAGGGAAGAATTTCATCCTAATATCCAATCTAATCCTATCCTCCTTCATTTGAAGGCCATTTCCATTTGTTCAAAGTCCCACTACGGCTCTCTTGGAGCCCCTTTAGGCCCTGGAAGGGGCTCTAAGGCCTCCCTGGAACCTTCTCCAGGCTGAACACCCCCATCTCTCCCAGCCTGGCTCCAGAGCAGAGGGGCTCCAGGCCTTGGGGCAGCTCCAGGTCCTTCCTGTGCTGGAAGCCCAGGGCTGGAGGCAGCTCTGCAGGTGAGGTCTCACCTGAGTGGGCCACAGGGGCAGAATCCCCCCCTGCCCTGCTGCCCACGCTGGGGGATCAGCCCAGCACAGGGGGGTTCTGGTCTGCCAGAGCACGTGGCTGGGGCACGTTGAGCTTCTCATCCACCAGCACCCCCATGTCCTTCTCCCCAGGGCTGCTCCCTGTCCATTCTCTGCATGGCCTGTACTTCTGCCTGAAAGTACTCCTGCTTATCCTGGAATTCCAGGGGACCAAATTGTCCCATCCAGTCATAGGGTCTGAACATAGTTTTGGCTAACAGTCACATTAAACTGAAGTCTAGGCTCTTCTAGAACGGGCTTTACTGACGTTCAAAACTAGATGTTGAATATGAAATTGCCAGAGATGAACCAGGAGTTTGGAGATGTTTCTATTATGGTTTGGCTTTTACCATTTGAAGTCCTGTGTTGCAATATTAAAGAAACTGGGTTTATGCTCTGGACATCATAGGCAACTTGGGAATTCATAAATGGGTACGAACAGATAGTTTTGCTGCCTTGAACTATTTTCTGCATAGCTTTCATAAGGTAGTTTTGTCTGGTGTTGAGGAATTCAGTACCTTGTGTACAGCAGTGTGTTTTGAGGCCTGGTGGGTGTGTATTTATGGAGGGATATGAAGTGGTTTGTTAGGCAAAGCCTTTCCTACTGAATGAGAAAGTTTCCTCAAGGGATCAGGAGAATATATTTTTGGCTTTGTGTATATTAAATGAAGTGCTCCTGGATCCTGGGAGGATTTTGCTGCCTCTGGTGGCTGTGCTCGTGGAGCTGGGGTCTGGGTGATGCTGTTCTGGACGCTTAGGCCAGTGAGAGGTGTGATCATCAGCTTTTCTAAATATTCCGTGTGGTATGAAGACAGGAATTGGCTGAAGAACTTGAAAGAGTTGATCAGACTCTTCCTGTCTGATTGAAGAATAACAAAGAGAAATGAGCTTGTAAAAATGATAATGTCCAAGAGGGTTTTTCTGGGTGGAGCCGATGATGTCTCAAAGGGGCTTTTGTGTTCTGTTGTGTTTTGTGCCAATACCCCCAACACCAAGACAATAAGGCCAATGTTTTAATGGCTTTGCGGGGCTGGCAGTCCCCCTGGGTGTGCTGAGCCTTTGCTGAACAAGAGCAGTGCTGTTTGTGCTGAGTGATGCGTTTGTGTCCCGCAGCGCGAGTGCATCTCAGTCCACGTGGGGCAGGCAGGCGTGCAGATCGGCAATGCGTGCTGGGAGCTCTACTGCCTGGAGCACGGCATCCAGCCCGACGGAAACATGCCCAGCGACAAGAGCGTGGGCGGCGGGGACGACTCCTTCAACACCTTCTTCAGCGAGACGGGCGCGGGGAAGCACGTCCCAAGGGCTGTGTTTGTGGACCTGGAACCTGCGGTCATAGGTAACACTCACCTGTGCAAGGCACTGCTGAACACTGCCACGGTTTTTGGCTAGTCCTGAAAAACACTTTGAGGCTTTAAATTGTTAGTGCATAAAGCTTGCCTACACCTTCCTAGTGATGGAAAATACTTGGCTTTATGTTCAATGAGACTGGCAAACGTGCACTGTGGAGCTGTCAAGAATTTCAGCGTTACCTTCTGCCAGGCTGTGCAGTTCAATGGGTCTCATGAACATGCTTCATGCTTTTCTATGCAAGGAGCAGTTACAGCCCCTTGGAACAGTATGGCATAATATGTGCTGCAGTCAGTAGAACCTCTTTAAGAGACACAATATATATCATTAGGAAGGTTCCTTATTGTACACAGAAATGATTCCTGTGGTTTCCCAAAGCAATCTGTGTAAGCTGAACAGTGCTTGCTTGCAGAAATGAGTTCCCATAGCTGGCCTAAATTCAGGGACTTCTGAACATGTGCTTCAACTTCCCATTGCCTTATCTTTGAGAAACAATCTACTCCTGAAAATGAGTTCTGTTTCAGGCTCTGGCAGCACTGGCTCTTGGTGTTCAGATATGATCCCATGCATCAGCCACTGACCAATCCTCCATCCTGGGACAGTAGATGCACTGTCAGATCAACGTGAGCTCCGGGTTTCACAAGATCTTCATCCTTTGTGTCAGGAATCATGGTTTTCCTCTCACCAGTGTGTACCAGAAGTAATTCTTCTTGAGTCAAGCCATCTTGTCTCAAGTAGTGATTTGGGACTCTTATAGCAGAGGTCTGTGTTGCCTGTGCTTATGCAGTTGCTGTGTTTTTGCAATACAGAGCTGGGGAAATGTGTGAATGTGCCCAGGCTACTCCTCTGTACCAAACCATGACTCTCCTGTAACTTCTGTTGAGTGTAACACACCAGACCCCTTCTTGTTGCTAACACAGCAGAATGAACCTCTCAGGGGAGCAGAAGGCTCTGAGGCTACATAAGGGTGGGAGTGCTGGGCTATAACTTTGAAATGAACCCAGGCACCCTTGGCCATACACTGATATTCCCAGGAGCTGTTGCAGGCCTGGCTTTGTGCTTTTTTGAGCCCTGTGGCTGTTGTCTCCTCTGCTGCTGGCCAGGTGGTGGCTCTGAGCACCCAGGAATGCTGAGAAATGAGATGAGGGAGAACAGGTGGCAAAACAGGGCAGAGGAGCCAGTGAGTCTTGGAACAAATGCCAAAAAGTAGTGAGTGTTCCAGTGCTTGTTGGTGATGCAGGTGTAGTGTGGGGAGATGGGCAAGGTTGGTAATACTCAAAGTTAGGGCTTTTTGTTAAATATTACATCATGTGCCTTTCTGGGAGATGGCTGCTCTTTGTTATTCCTCTGTGGCTAATGTGAAAATCACTGCTCCAGTTTCCTGGGCAGGGCTCATGAGTCTCCCCATTCATGCAGCAAATCCCAGTGCACTGAATTGATGAAAAACCCATCTTTGTGCATCCAGCAGCTGTGCAGCTGCCACAGGGATTTCTGTCCTTCCAGATTAGTGCTGGTCTTGCAGAAAGCAGCAGGATGGTGGATATGTATCACCTCTGTGAATGTGGTCGTAAAACATCATCAAACTTTCCACCACAAAATAGGGCAGTGACATCTGGGAATTCACTACAAGTGTCTTTGACAATCTACCCCAGCTAGATTTGAAAATATGAAGGACAGGATGTCTGGGCCAAGCTGGTCTAGCTGTCCCCTCACCTAAGTCCTTTGTTCCAGGCACACTTTTGTAGTCCAGTCACTGATCCTCTGAACTCTGCAAGTTTTGTTACTTCCTGAGGGCTGTCTTGGCTCACACTACTCCTATCTGCATAGGATAAAGAACCATTTTATTTTAGTTCTGTATTTTTCCCTTGTTACCCATATTTGTCCCTTGTGGAGTGGTACTGTAGGAAGTCTTAGACACAGGGGTATTTGAGGTGGTAAACTTTTCCAAATTGTTTGCATTTTGATGCAGTCTTAGAAATACTTTAGAATATCAGACTGTAGTGGAATATCCACTGCAGTGGAAGCTGCTCAGCCTAAATTGGTTTGCATGCTAACTATACTTTTATGTCTTAAATTTTGTTTATCTTTGTCTTGCTTGTTCTATTTCAGATTAATGAATACATACAAGCAGGCAACTTCAGCTGTAGTTAATAAAGCTCTCTGCTGTCCACCTGATTTAAATTAAAGGATGCAATACTGCAATAGCACACAACTGGAGTGGCTTGAACTAAACCATAGACAAAGCTCTGTTGAGTGTCTTTGTACCTTTCTGGTAGGACAGGGCTTTAGCCTGCTAGGTGTAAGTGCATATTTCTGGGAACCTAGTGGCTCTAAATCAGCCTCCAAATGTGTAACTGCTGGGGGATGCTGTGTGCATCTGCACAGTGGCTTTAACACAGTTGTGTGCTGCAGCTTTCAGCTCTGGGTTTAGATAATTGCAGAACTCTCCAGGAGCATCTCCTGTTCCTTTTGAACCTTTCTCTACCTTTGGCTGAAAATACAGTGAAGAGAAAGGAGCATGCAAGCAATGCTGGCTCTGCCTGCCCACAGAAGCATCCTGGAAGGATTGGGAAGTGAAGGGGAAAAGTGGGATTTCAGCTGCTGAGCTGTAAAATGGGCCTTGACTTTTCTTAAACTGGAAAAATGGTTCTGCTGCTATAGTCCAGTTTTGACAGGTGAAAATTCTAAACTTTGGTGTAAAATAGAACACTTTCCTAAGGAGTAACTTAATTTTTCTTAGTTATTCAGCATTTAGGCTGTAGCAAGTCACCTACTGATAGGTAGTTGCATTTTTTTTCTAAAGGTTTAAGTACATTATTCTAGACACCCTCCGAAGTTTGAAAAAGCTGGTCTATATAGAAAATTAACATTAAAATGTTTATATATAATAAAATATGTCTGGTCTCTCCCCAGATGAAGTTAGGAATGGGACATACCGGCAGCTCTTTCATCCTGAGCAACTGATATCTGGTAAAGAAGATGCTGCAAATAACTATGCTCGAGGTCACTACACAGTTGGGAAAGAGATAATTGATCTGGTTCTAGAGCGTATCAGGAAGCTGGTAAGACTTCTCTTCACTGAAGGCTCTGAAACATCTGTTTTACAGGATTTGGAAATGAGGTTATCAAATGCATAGCTCTATAAATTGTGCTTTAATTTCTTTGTGGTATGAGAATCTATGGACTTAGTCTGCATCTGGTTTTATTCTTAGCCAGCTGAGAATGTCTGGGTTATTCTTGTCAGATATGGCTTTCAAGTGGCCTAAAATGGTGATGAGGCACCTAAAACTTCATATGTAGTTTCATGTTCAGAAAGCCAGAACCAAAAATCATGATTTACATGGTTCCTGCTGGATTGGTCTCTGGCTGTGGCTCTTTCAAGGAAGTTTAAATAAGAGTGCTTGCTTCTGTGGTTTAGACTACTGTTTGTATTTCCTGCTATGATGATTTTTAGATTAAATTTATGGTAATAACAGTAGAAAAAGAATAAATCTCAGTAAGTTGGGATGTTTCAGTCATGTGGCAAACTTACAAAGGTGACAGTTTAGGAGGTTCAGGTTCACTGTTGAGGGCTGCAAAGCATGTCCATTGCCCAATCTGTGTCACAAAGGTAGGAGTTCTTGTTGCACAAAACCCATTTGCTCTGATATGGACTGCTCTTAGTTTAAAGTTCACCTTTTGCAGATCAGAACTGGGATTATTCTGAACACTTGACTGCTGCAGTCTCTAATTAAAGCAGTGATAAGTTTGCAGCAGGCTGTACCTTGACCTGAAAACCAGTCATAATTTCTTTGTACAAGCTGTTGGCAGTCCCTGTTAATCCTGAGAGCTGAGCATCATGTGGCACCTCTTTGTGAGGACAGGGCTGTCTAGTTTTGTCTTCTGAGTAGTGAATGGGACTGGCACTGTAATAGCCTGTGACAGCTCACTTCCCTGAGCAGAGATACACACTTGGCAGTTGTACAGCATTAGAGCAGTAGCTCTGGGATGGGAGATTGCTCCGTTTTTGTGCAGATAGAGAATACCAAGTAACTGTGAGGGATAGATAATGTGTAGGTCTTTGAATATTCCTGCTTTTCTTGCTTGTTGTTTATGGCCTCAGCTGAGAATTCGGGGTAGAAAGAATTTTAAAGCAGCAATTTGAAGTGGTCACCATCCAGTATGTAGGGGTTTAAACCAGCCAAGAATACTGTTTTTCATGGGGTAGCTCTTTGACTCTTGATGAATAAATTCCTTATTTCTGAAGCTTGAACAGTTGGTATGTGTCAGAATTCAGAGATGCCTTTCTTGAGCTTAACTGGGGATTCTTAATGCACACAGTGTCTTGAACCACCTGTATTTTCTCTTTCAGTCAGATCAGTGCACTGGCTTGCAGGGCTTCCTGATTTTCCACAGCTTTGGGGGAGGGACTGGATCTGGTTTCACCTCTCTGCTGATGGAGCGCCTCTCAGTTGACTATGGGAAAAAATCCAAGCTGGAATTCGCCATCTACCCTGCACCTCAGGTCTCCACAGCTGTTGTGGAGCCCTACAACTCCATCCTGACCACCCACACCACGCTGGAGCACTCTGACTGTGCCTTCATGGTTGACAATGAGGCCATTTATGACATTTGCCGTCGGAACCTGGACATTGAGCGCCCAACCTACACCAACCTCAATCGCCTCATTGGTCAGATAGTGTCTTCCATTACTGCTTCCCTTAGGTTCGATGGTGCCTTAAACGTGGATCTTACTGAGTTCCAGACTAACCTGGTGCCTTACCCTCGTATCCACTTCCCTCTGGTGACGTACTCGCCGATTATTTCAGCAGAGAAGGCGTACCACGAGCAGCTGTCCGTGGCTGAGATCACCAATGCCTGCTTCGAGCCCTCCAACCAGATGGTGAAGTGTGACCCGCGGCACGGCAAGTACATGGCGTGCTGCATGCTGTACCGCGGCGACGTGGTGCCCAAGGATGTCAACGCCGCCATCGCCGCCATCAAGACCAAGCGCACCATCCAGTTCGTGGACTGGTGTCCTACTGGATTTAAGGCAAGTCTCAATTCCTGTTGGAGTCAGTTAGTCAGGAGTCTCTCTGATTTCTTCAGAGAGAAGGCAGAGTGCAGGGATTGAATTAAAGTCTTTGAATTAAATGAGTAAGTGAGTAAATGGAATAAGTTTTAAGTGCTTTTAGTGAGTAAAAGGTCTTAGATGCCTGAGAAGTAGTACATCTTCTAGTGAAGGTTGAAAAACATACTAGTGTTTCCTTAGAGGCTCCAAGAACCTAGCTTCAGACATGACAGAGTTAGAGTTAAGAATATTGCTTACATTTTTCAGTTAAAACAAGATAGGCCATGTACTTAGTCTATACGTAGCCTGGCATGCTGAGAAACTAGAATTCTAATAGGTTAAGGAGTAGTGGTGCGAGTTTGTGTCTTAGCTAGTTGGAAAGTTTCTATAAAATAACATGCACCAGGGAGAGCTGGTGCGTTTTGCCATGTGCGTTTTGCCATGTGCGTTTTGCCAT